GCTTCGCTCTGGACCGTTACTCATCAGCAACAAAAGAGCGCGATGTGAAACATGAAATGCGGTGAAGGGAAAAAAATACTGACACAATAAAAAGCGTTTAATATAAAGAATATGTTTACTTTCCGTAATTATCTTAGTGCATCGTGTTGAAAATGTTTACCCGAATTTTGAAGGTAAAGCGTTACCCATTTATCGAAATTTCTTTTAAAGTTTCTTGAGATATGGACATTACATACAAGGATATCGAATATTTTAATTCCTCAATGGTCTAGGGACGAGTTTTGTAGACATATCCTTTAGGCTCTAGCAGAAAAATAAATCGGGTGTGTGATATAGTGATCTTGGCGGCCATAGCCCTTTCGAAATTATGCGGGTACTTATAAATCATTCGTGTACTTATTTACTCGAAACTCTTAGAACAATACACGTTATTCCAGTGTCAGCATTCTGACAGTTATAATCTGACTCACGACAAACATGTACGTAGTTAGAGAGTAGGCTTCCGCGGCCGGAGTCAGTATTTAATTGGCTGTCCGGGTGACGCCGCGTCAATGGTGAAGGTGCCGACGTTCGGCGGTCGCCATTCTGCGACCTTCCTCAGGGCGTAATGCATTACGCGGAGTCACCCGGAGTCAATCGCGGAGCTAAGTAAATATGTACGTAGTTAAACTGAATAAGAATACGAAACTCGGATACGAAGATGCGATCACGTATTTTTATTTCGACTACTGCTTCTCTGCAACGAGCGCGCTTCTGAACAGTCGAACGTTGTCGCGCTGACTAAGTCCCAGATGTTGCCATTACCACGTAGAGGATGGTTGAATGCGGAGACGGCCACTGCGGAGAGACTTTTTGTTCGCTCTGTAGAATGTGCTTTTGTTGGAAAAGAGCAGAAAGCAAACATGAGTTATTAAGGAAAATATTTTGTTTGCTTTGATAGAACCGTCTTAATAAATTAAAAATAGTTAATGAAAATATAATGTATTACTGTCGCCATGAAACAAACAAGATCCAATAGTACAATTTTGTATTTAGCAGCATGCTAAATTTGCGATTATATCGTAGCAAAGCAAATTTCAATATCAGCCCTACGAGGAATTATAATACTGAAATCAAAATCAAATTTGTATGTCTAATCCGTTCACATTGTCATACATTGACAACAAACATTCCCAAAATAAACGGGAAATAACTGTATGTAATAGTTCGCAATTGCCCTTTGTTTACGCGCTACGGTACGAATAGCGCATTCTTATTGGCGGTTCCCGCTCCTAGAAGGAGCCTTATCCCCACCCCTCCACGCGGCCCGGGCTTGTACTCAAGTTAGAGCGTAGGCTTCCGCGGTCGGAGTCAGTATTTACTTGGCTGTCCGGGTGACGCAGTGTCAACGGCGAAGGTGCCAACGCGGCGTCACCCGGACAGCCAAGTAAATATTGCACTCAAGTTGCTCGCGCGCGGCTCCCGTGGTCAGTGAAAGTGCAAAATGCGGTGCAGGCCTGCCTAAGGTTCACCAACCGACCATCCAGCGGCCCTAGCCGATCATTCTCGAATTACGTCCAGTGACTGCCAGAAGGAGTACAAGGCCCTGGCTTTCGCACTAGAGCGACTGCTAATGTGCAGGCGAAAACTGAGTGGATCCGGGCAGGGGCACCTCGTCCGGTGAAGAAAGTGATATGCCTGTATTTACTTGGCTGTCCGAGTGACGCCGCGTCCATGGCGAAGGTGCCGACGTTTCAGTTACCATTCTGCGACGTTCCTCGGGGCGTAATGCCCTGAGGAACATTACGCCCTGAGGAAGGTCGAGAATGGCGACCGGACAGCGAAGTAAATACCGACTCCGGCCGCGGAAGAATACGCTCTTAAAGTGATAGATAGATAGATAGATAGATAGATAGATAGATAGATAGATAGATAGATAGATAGATAGATAGATTCTCATTCTGCAATCATACATTTTCATATTAAGAAAATGCAAATAACAATAGTATTTTAAGGCTATATGTGGTTACTAACTTAAATGAACAACGCACATGTTTCGGGGATTTCTCTGTTTGTACAACTGACTCAGTATATATATGAGAAAGAAGGCTGCACTGTTTCAGGCAGACCCTAGCAATGTTAGTTATAAATAAACTTAATTGCCGCATTTTGTCAGGCTTCCATTTGAGGCCGTATGTGTGAGTCTGCAATTCATGACACAAGTCTCATAGTTGCTTTGTTTGGACGTAAGGATGTGTCGCTCTCGTGCTCCGACGAACAAACTCCTTTTTTTGAAATGTTATTTGTGTGTCCCACTTTGAAATTAGATCTATACAACGTTAGTGTAGAAATACAGGACTATTTTTACAGTTAATTTAAGTGTCGACCTAAGGTAAAAATTTACATTTTAAAAATTAAAATATTTTGTATATTTAAATGTTTACAAAAATTATATATACATCACAAGAAAGTACCTCTTTTTAGATTCAATTTAAGTGTAATTTAATTAATTTTCTGAAGGAAACGGTATTTGTGCAAAAAATTCTAAACATTAGCTTGCGCATGATTCTTCGGAAAATATTATTGGGAATATCGCTCGTATTGTAATATCACATTCTTTTATTAATACCCGTCAGTACATCGTTTCATAACGTACTATTATTTACTAGTGAAATAAGTCATTTGAAAATTTAAAAGCGTTTATTAGAAAAGATGGCCTAGTGGGGGACAGGGGAGGCAGAATTATGAATTCCTCCCCCTTTCCTTTAATATTGAATATTATTGAAGATAGAAAGTTTTCCGTAATGAACTCTGATTTTTTAAGATCTTGAAATAAGGTCATGTTCAATTTTTTGAAAAGGAGTAGTTTTTAATTTTGTGCGAAATATAGGCAATTTTAATGTTTTAAAACATTTTTCACAATACCAAAGATTTTTTAAGTTTTGTCTTCGTATGTATCAAAGGACGGTAAAAATATGATGCAAGTCCCATTTTCCACAAACTGCTTTTTTTTCAAAAATTTCAAAATAACATTTCAAAAGTACAAAATTGAAGATAGAGATTTTTGCTTTAAACAAAGCCTGTTGTAAAAATAAGCTTTTTAAAAAAGATAGTGTTCGATTTTGGGGAAAAAGAGTAGAATCACGTGATTTGTGCAATTTATAAAAAATTGTGTGAAAACCGTACCGATTTGTCCTTAAATTTCCTCCTCCATTTTTGGCGAACTCTCCGGATAATCGAAAATTACAAAAATTGCGGGTTGCAAAAAGTATAATACAGCGGAGCAGTTAGAAATAATGCGAGGCAGTTTGTGCTGTTGTAGAAACACTAGCTCTTTATTGCATTGTTCCAACTGCGACCAAATTTGATATCATTATTGTTTTGTTGCTAATGTGTGTTTCGAACAATTGTCGAATAGATTGGGTAATACTTTATATTCAAATTGGTTTTTACCCATCAAAAGTATTTTTTTTCCATTGTCACTCTGCCAGGACTGTATTTCATGTATGATTTGTTCTATAATTAGGCTATAACTAGGATTATTGTTCAACATTGTCAGTGTGATCATGCTGTGTGTATTTCAGGCTGTTCTGCTATTGACCGGTTGGATTTGTATCTTTGTAGTAATGCGAAATGACTTCCGAATAGCAATTTACTCAGTCTGTTTATTAGAGCAGTTTCCACTTAATCTGTGCTTTAATTTCTTAACACGTGATTGTTTATTCCAACTCATCTCTTTTACTTCCATCAGTTTTTATTTGTACACCGGAAGTAATGCAATGTATTATTTAACACGCATCCTTTCTGCAAAATGGCTCTGTTTGAGTTCCAGTGGCTTATGACACTGTTTCATTGTACAGTTCGATTTTGTGGTAAGAGTTTTATTTATTGGTTGAACTACAGAAATAGTTCAAGAAACAAGGTGTGAGATTCTCTAATAGACAGAAATCTTTGAATTTGTATCAGTATATGAATCCCCCGAATGTTGTTTTGAATCCTCAAAAGTTTCTTCTTAAATTGCTCTATATATTGGGATTCATTCAAATGCTCCCTGTTAAATATTGTGAAGACACTTGGATATCCACCCCCTTTAGCTGCTCTCTATAGAATGACTAATTTTTAGAGCCTTTTCCTGAACGTATTCTATGTTTGTTGAAGTTGAATTTCTTGTCATCCTAAGTGTAAACCAATTTTCTTAAGAATTTTAGCATTGAGATATTATCTTATTCGAACCCGGAACAACTTGTGGTTTCAAGTCATTAAATATATTTTGTTTTCCTAAGCCGAAAATTCAAGAAAACTCCTGCATCCATTACATTGTGACTCTTTGTCAAGAGCAATAAATCGCCTTCTAAAGCTGAACTTTTAGTTCTGTGAGTGAAATCTCATGAGTGTATTATTCAAAATATTTCAACAGTCTTGTTTGAAACACGATCCATGTAGGCAGCCCTTCCGAATTCGTTTTTATCTACAGTGAATGAGTTGCTTTGTATGCAGGATTTCCTTTTTTGTGTGTCCTGTACAGGCTTACAGGACATTCCAATTGTCTCAGATTACCGAGTAAACTTGGCCACCACTGCGTCAAAGGCTCATTTTACATCTAGATTAATAAAAACAATGTAGGGGTAATAACTAGAATTTTCCAGCTAAAAATTGTTTCAAATGTCTGAATGTATTGTTTTACGAGTGTAGTTGAAAAGACACTGGGTCCCATACTACAGTGTGTTTTATTCTTCAAAACCAAACTTCCCATCTCATCTATCCTAGTCTATAGACACTATATAGCGGGGAGTTGAATAGTAACTCGGTCACAATTCATATCTGATGTCTTGTTAGTATTAGTGATGATAGTAGTAACAGTAGTGGTTGTTGTGATAGTAGTTAGTAGTGGTAGTTGGTAGTGGTTAGCAGATTGGTTGGCATGCCATATGTGGGACACAATATGATGTTGCGTACTGGTCTACAACATCTGTGAGATGCCGTACGAGTTGTTCAGTGATTTTTGGTGTGGAATCTTAGCGATGACCAACGAGTTGTGTGATACGTCACATTACATAGTTATACGAGCTGGTAGACATTATTCTCCAGTCATCTCCGAGATGCCGTACGAGGTGAAGGACGTGTATTTTGCTCAATGCTTACGAGTTCAAAAGCTTAAGTTACGGAAATCTTGCGGCTTACAACTATCCTTGAGATAAGATCGCGTGTGAACCTAAATTTAATATTACTTCACTGCTGTTGTAAATGCCTTTATTTCTGTTATAACACTGAGTTACAAAATATATTACCCAGAATAATATTTTCAATTCATTTGCTAATTTATTCAAATCTTACGGTTGATTTACGAAATTTGCCATTGCCGACTTTTATTGAAATGTTTATTTCATGCGCCCAGAATGCTTGTCTTTTAAAAAATAACAATTTTCAATAATTAGTTCGTTGTTCTTCCCTATTATGCATTTTCCCCAGTAACACTGATTACGAATTGTTGAAATATCAATTGATAATGAATGCATTTCCACATTTAGTATATTACACTGTCAAATGTAGGTTCTGTTCTCTCTTTTCAGTGTTTGCGGTTGCTCCGTCCTCCTCCATCAACTGTCTTTCTCAATTGCGGACACTCGTGGACTGATGCAAGCGCATTCGAATATTGGAAGAAATCATCTCTATTTGATGAGTTTTGAAAAACAACTGAGCTTTTCACAAGAAAATAGATTTGTCAGACCCACGCCGAACCAACTACTACGTAATTCTGGTATACTGTAAATCTATCCTCTACTGATCGACGGATATGTTATACAGAGAAAACTAAGATAAAGCTTAAATTGATTTACGTATTGTATAGAACTGTATCGGGTTACCTGGATCTGTCATAAGAGATACTAAATAAAGGATTAAATGATGAATCGGGATGTAAAGTCTAAGAAAAAGAAAAATATTAAATTAACCTATCCCGTTTGGGTTGAACATAGGGAAGTGAGCCAGCGATTACCTCGAGGGTATTCAGACGTTTTTTACAAGAGTTTGTATTCATCCATCTCACCATGCCATTCATGGAAGAGAGGAGAAAATTCGCGATCTGTGCACGGTGGACTTTACAGCTTGGAGTTCTGCCCGGCTGGATCTCTTCTGGTGGCGGGCGAGAAGAGGAGCTTCCGGGTGTTTGACCCTGTGTCTCGGAAATTGATTCGCACCGTTGACAACGCACATGCATGTTGCGTCACGAATGTGAAGTTTCTGGATGCCCACGTTTTCGCTACGGGCAGTGTTGACAAGACAGTCTCCTTGTGGGACGCCAGAAATCTCGGGAAACGGTTGAGAACATTGCGGGTACGCACAAACACCATTGGAAACATCGCGTTTTCACCAAAAACTAACTTGCTGATAACGTCTGGACTCGACGGATACATTTCCACGTGGGATATAACGAACTTCACCCAAAAAAACGAGCTTTGCAGGAAGATATCTTGGTCATACGTACTCACCCGCCTGCGACTCAGTCCCGATGAGTCGAAAATGATCATTTCAACGGGTAGAGGTTTTATAATGATTGTACACGATCTCGATTTGAACACACTTGATTTGGACGATTTCGAATTGGATCTTTTCGGATTAACGTTCTTGGACCAGGCAGATATCTCGCGGTTCCTGAACTGGAATCACTTCCTTTCCCCGAAACGGCGACGAAACCGCGTGGAGATAGTGGCGGACTACCCTGATGTGCGCGGGATCAACGTGATCTCGTCGCTGGAGATCCACCCTCGCGGATGGAGCGCAGTGAGTCGCACCAAGTGCATTATGAATGGCGAGCGCAAGCACTGGACCTGCGTACACGACATCCTGGAGAAGGATCCTTCTGAACGTAGGGCTGCTTCGGGAGGGGGTTGGGGGGACGAGTGCCCCCCGTACCCCCAGCTGGAGGCCGATGCTGGGGAGGCAACGGCGTCGGGGAGCGCTGAGGCCTCGTGCGTCGGCGCGCAGCCTGCTTTTGCAGGCGCAGCGACGTTCCCAGAACGCGAACGCGAACTCGAGCTCCAGAGAGGCAATGAATCGGGACGCAACGGGGGGTGGGCAGCTGGCTTTGAAACAGCGAGTGAGGGCTTTTGCGCCCCCTCTAATAGCAATGTCGAGTGTGAGGTGCCGTTTGCAGAGCCTTCTGGGGAAGCGGGGGCCCGCAAGAGAAGAGCCGTCTCCCGGGGAACCACAGGGTGGCCATGGGCCCCCCCGTCATCTGCGCATCCCGGGCCCTTTGAAGTGGCAAACAATAGCAAGAATGCGGAGGCCAGAAAGGTCTTGGGAGTTTTGGCACTCATTCGTCACAATCAAAGTGAAGGACAACTGATTCGTACTGTTCCCGAACGGTACCCAAGACTGACGCATTACATTGAGGAACCAGTGGCCAGTGAATGGTATTTCGACAATACCTGCTTTTCCTCAGATGGCCGTTTAATATGTTATCCGATGAAACGTGGCATTAGGTTACTTTCTTTTTCACCAGAGTGTTCGGAGCAGCCCATTACTTGGAGTAAAGCAGAACCGCGTAACTTACATGAATTGAAAACGCACGTCTCCCACAGTAACACAGTACTTTGTACTAAGTTTTCCCCACGTCACTATTTGTTAGTATCTGGATGCTCGGGTGGGCAGCTTACTTGGTATGAACCCGTTGTGTGAAGTTTGTTCTGGGTACAATTATAAGAAAAAACACCATATAATAATTCTTCAAAATAATAAATGTAGTTTTCTTCCATATGTATGAGAAATTTTGTACTATGTACATATGATTATCACTTATAAATTTTTGTAGTAAATACACTACTGTAGAACGAGTTAAAAAAATTAACGGACAATTGTCTAAAATTCAATACAATTTTTTCCTACTCTGATTTACTGGTAACTGTTGTGACTACCTGCCTTGACGTATAAATGAGTAGAAAATTTTTTTTTCATTGTATTGCCTGTCGACTTGGTTGTAGTCTCATTATATATTTTAACTTGTAAGGAAGGTTTGAATTATAATTGTAAAATTATTTGAGCATGAATTTCGACGAAGTAACCTTTCTACATGAACAGTCTAAAATGAGGTTTGAAATATACTAGATAAGTTCAAATCTGAAACCTTTAAAAATGATTTGATTTTAATTTTTATTTCTCAAGTACACAATATAGAGTTCTGTTCTTTTACTTGTAAATTGACAAAAAACTAATTTCAACGTGAAAATTCAAGAATGTGTTGTTTTTTTATTCTGAAAAGTGTAGCAGTACATCTGTTCACTTTATTAGCGCCTTAGCCCCACCCCCTCACCTCACCCTTCTCGTGCGGGCGGAAGGAGTCCTGTGCCAGCGACGGAAATCCCAGCTCTGGCCGGGAAGACGTCCCAAAGTCGCTTCTACGCGGCACGCCGTCCATTCCTTGGCGCGGGGGAGAGCACTTCGTTCTGACAAGCAGCTGCCACAGCGGGAAAAGTCCACTTCCTCCCACATCTGACTTAGAAATAAGGAGATTTCGCCATCGCCTCCGCAGTCACCGCCGCTTTCTAAGGGCCACTGCACATGAAGGTTACGTGGGCGCACGATGAGAAACGCGCGTCGTAGAATAACACTATCTTATGCAAAACGGTGCACAACGCTTTGGCCGTTCCGCATAAGGTAGTTAATTTACGACGCGCTTTACTTACCGTGCGTCAAACGCGCGTCAACTCAACGCTCGTGTGACATATGTCTAAACCTGCAGCGGCCGCGCAATTTCCAGTTACTACAAATTTTAAGAAACCTTGCTCTCCGGAAGCACTCTGTTGGGGCAGACCGTTGAAATATTCAGTTGCTGCTAACTTTTGATTGGAAGCCGCTCCGTCGTCGGATAATTGAAACGGACGGATGACGGAATCACGTGAACAGAGAATGGGAGACATAGCTCTGTCGGTGGTGAGCGCAGCTCAAGAACTAACTTAGACCTTGGGAGACTCTGGACGAGCCTTCAGCTGCCCCGGGTGAAAAGCTTTCCCTCGCGCAGCCGGGGTTGGCGCACATACACGTATCAGTTTCGAGTCGAATTTCAGGGATGAAGGACTTAGTTTTCGGATCCTTTTAAGTCATGTTACATCCTAAGCTTTTCGCAAGGAACTTACAGAAACAATGCGAATTATTCCTTATGACGTTGGGTGCGAATGGAATGGAGTTTTTGTTTGTAAACAACTTTTGGTCATTGTATGATGTAATGGTTTTTGTGTACTGTCTTGCATGTGTTTTTATGCTGAATATTTTGTAAAATGATATAAATTAAATTCATGTCTAATTGAATATGTGTCCGTGTATTTTTTATGTGTATCCATTCTTTCCCTCACTTATTATAGTGTAAAGCATTTAAAATTAATTTAATTCCTTCACGATATAATATGACCGATAGGATTAGAAAAGTATTTCTGCCAACACCATTTATTTGGTATTTAAATAAACGAATATAAACAAATTCTATACAAAAATGTAGACATATTTCCAAATATATACATTGTAACTGCGTGCATTATGTCATTGAAAAATAAAAATAATATATTGGAAAATGTATACTATTTGAAAACTTGAAATTTGGAAAACAGCTGAAATTTGTGAACTTGTCATATCTGCATTCTTAATTGAAAGGTTTAGAAACAAAAACATGCTTTATATATTAGGAATCCTGGGAAATACACATTTTCATGCTGTTGGGGCTGATTTTACATGAATTTTCAAACAACATCTCTTGATCTACAACTGCTACATAGCATATAACTAATTTTTCTGTGTCATTTTTAAACTACAATATTAGCTAATGTTCAATGTAATTCAAAAATTAAATCCTTCAATATAAAAATATTTTCTCTGTCAAAAATTATTCAATGGAGAAAAACCTCATTTGTAAATGAGGGGTAAATTTTATTTTATTTATATAAAATTCATTTATTTATTCATCATGCTGGATGTGAAAAATCTGTGCATAGGTCTGAGTTATTTTACTGTCTATTGCAGGATTGCAAGACAACAAAACAAACAATTAAGCAAATGAAACTTTTAATTCACAAGACAAAAGGAGTAACTAAAATGATAAATTAACACATTGATTTCATATTTAACCATTTAAATCTTTACCTTAATACTTATGAATTTTTTCCACATTTCTTTTGTTATAATTGTTATATGGATTTCCTCTAATGGAATTGTAATGAATTTTTTAGAATACTATTATTATATAGAAATTATAATTACTCTATAATTACATAGTAATTATAATCACTATATAATAATGTATAGCACTCTTATATTATTATAATAATTATTGTAATAATTATTTCTGTATTATTGTATTTTACTAATTTATTATCACCAGCAAAATCCTCGATCCCTAATAGATCTGGAATCATCCCCAAACATCAAGTTCTGTAATGGAATGAGGAATGTAATTCATTAATCAAAAATAAAATAAAAACTAACAGGAAGTTTAAAAAAATTTAATATTAGCGTTGAAACTTGAATATAAAAAGGCAAGAGCAAAAGCTAGATGGATTCTTAAATCTACTATGATTAAATTATTCCAAGAATTCACCTCATTCATCAGAAAACCATCTTATTTGTCCTCTATATGGAAAAAAAATATTTAACTGGTAATGCTACTCTTCTTCTCCCACCGTACTTAACTAATGATCAAGGAATTAGGCATTATGGCTCCCAAAATACTAGTATTTTATTATATCGAACATTTGCTAAAAATTCTATTTTAAAAAGTGATTACTCCAATTCTCTTTCTTTTTCTAACCAAAATATTTTAAGTCTTCAAAGATTCATTATTCCAAGTATTTAACATTTCTTAATTAAATTGTACTTTGCAGTGTGAAAAAATTATTACATCTGTTTGTTACAAAATTATAAAAATATATATTTTATTCCTTTCTTGTTAAAAAAATTCATGTTTTAATATTAAATTAATTTATTGTAGAATGTTTTAAATTGTGGAAAGGTGATGTAATGAAATATTGTTAAGTAGTTCAATACGTAAATTTTATTATACTGTAATATTTGAAAAGAAATTCCATTACTGATGACTATGCACAGCGATATAAAATACATTAAATTAAAAAAATAAGTTTTTATATACCAGAATATCCCAACATACATTTACAATTTTACCTTTTGTATTCAAATATTTATATTATTTCGAACATTTATTACCACCAGTGAAAGTTTGTTCGGGAATTTATTATAAATTCTAGCAGGTCTATAAATGTTTCTATTTCCACCTATTAACTTTTGATAAAACTAAATGTTTGCCTAATAATACTGGTTATTTTTTTATATTGTACACAGTTTATTACAACGAAATAAAATGTTAGAATATTTAAACAATATACTGGTTGTACAAGTCTTACAGTACTCTCTGACCAGATTGAAGACCGAATGGTCAGTGAGAACGGCCCACGTGGCCCACACAGGAACCGCAGCGCGGCCTCACGGGTTTGAAGATAGCAGCCCGGGGCGCCAGAAGCGCTTCGGTGAGGTCAAGGCTTAGGCGAATTTCGAAAATCACTCAAAACACAGAAGCGACGCTTGGCTGAGGCAACCGGTGCCCGGTCCCGGGGCCACGGAAGTCAAGGCCCGAATGAGGATGCCTGCCACCCCCCAATAAAGATGGTAACGGGAGGGCCCCAATTGAGACTGATATGCTTTAGATATTAATTGGGACATAAATGCACAGGGGGCTTCAAGAACGTAGCCACTCCTCTGATAAACCTCTTTCTACCGGAATCCATGTCTCTGAAACCATAATTATAATAAAACCATTATTTATTGGTAATATTAAGTGAAACTTAATGGTCTTGTTTAAGCTTGAAATTGTGCATTCATGAGTTACTTCTGTCTTGGGAAATATACAGTGCTTCCGCTTATCTTCAGGATTAAAAACTCACATTTATAAGAATAAGGAACATTGCTTTCTCAGACATAAATATTTCGTTACACAACAGTTACAGGAAAAGAAAAAAATGAAATATTGTTCTGGAATGTACGACAGAAATTTCCGAAGGATATCAACCAGGCATATGTAGTATTCAAATAAACACGACATATGAAATAGCTTGGAACGATAAGTGTTTTAAATTACTTCGCCACGTAACATGTGTAGTTCAAGAAAAGTTGCTGGCTGTGTTTCTCTGTTGAGATACATCTGGAGTAAGATTTCATCAGTTGTTGTCAGAAGTTTCAAACATCTGTAAAATTCTCAATGGCAATTATTATTAATTGTCCTGGAAATTTAACATTTCTTCTGCTTAACTGTTTAAAGACCAATCTCAACACATTCATACGCTATGTTATGCCCACGTGTTAAACTTGAATTGGCGGATACCATTTTTCCCCCGCTCCTCTCGATTTGGAATATTAAACGACGTTGCGGTGTTCCAATGAGAATCTCATTTAATATAAAAAAAAGTCAATCAAGAATAACGTCAGAGAATGCTAAATACTAGATTCAGACTTTCTTCACATCAGACTATAGTTAAGTTAATATTTCATAGGTTTTTCTTCCAGACATTTTGGGTGTTATTAGAAAAAAAAACAACTGAAGTCTCTTGATTTACAACTTGTATGAAAAATTGTTAATTAAACATAAAATTTTTACTTAATTTAGTTTAAAGCATATGTATTAAAGTATTACAGTATATGAATTTCAAGTCTTACCACCTCACTCGACATTTCGAGGCATATCTTTCCCTCTTCATCAGTAGTTTCTTCGAAATGTAAGACAAAAAAATACATGTTACAACAATAATCGACGTTAAGGCAACCTGTCTGTATAGATGTTATTTTTTTTAATGTAAAAAATTAAGTAAAACTCGTTTAGAATGAAATAATTGGAGACATTTTTGTCAGCATAGATTTATTAAAAAAGCCGGCTCTCAGAATAATGTTTCTATGTTGACAAAGGTTACTTTAATTATTTCATCCTTTAATAACGCCAACACCTCTTCAGCATTTCTGCAAAACTACATAGACAAATTGAAGTACCTATACCAGATACCTCCGAATATATTTTTTTCATTTTGCAATCTTAAGTTCTTACTCTATCTTTGCCGCATCTAATCCAGTCAGATTCCCTCTGTGTATCTTCAGTCAGGTCTTCTTCCCGATAGGGTTTAAGTCTGTTCTATAGTAAGTGTACTGAAAAATGTAAAATTCTGAATCGCTTGATAACAATAGCATTTTAGAAGCTATTAGCATACTTTTCTTAGAAGAAAAGAGGGGATTCAGAGTTCACGCTCACGCTCACGCTCACGCTCACGCTCACGCTCACGCTCACGCTCACGCTCACGTTCACGTTCACGTTCACGTTCACGTTCACGTTCAGATGCAATATTTACCTTCAAGCGATTGATAGAAGAGTGAAGAGAACATAACAAAAAAACATGTTGAAAACGTTCGACGCATTGTTCTATAGGAAATATTAGAGCGGAGAGATTACCCAACACACCTCATTGAAGCTACAAAAATACATAGCTAAAGCTACACCTGTACATAGAAATGTGCGCAGGTGGTACTTCTCCCCCATACG